ACATGCTGCTTTGGCCTGACCACGGCTGGTTATCCAACACATTCACACACCCCACGCCGTCCCAGGCGGCCAAACCACCCAGACCTATTCCCATTAGGGTTTAGGACCTAAACTCAGTTAGGTCCATCTTGCAACAACACCACAGATTTCTATAGCCAAGCTGCTGGCTTGGAGGACAAGGCTTGGGTAAACTCCAGGGCCATGGTCCCTCCTGAAATCTGACTCTATCAGCCAACCCCGTTTTTAGGGAGGCCTGTGCTTGGTCACAGCCGTTTGGGCTTTGGGGACGCCCCTATCCAGGCCCAGAAGCTGGCCTGGGAGGCCTTGGACGCATTGAAAGGTGTGGCTGGCAGGCTTTTTCAGAGTCCTGGATTTGGCAAGCCTCCGACTTCGGAGAGGCCTGAGGACGCTGTAGGTTCCTGAGCAGGTTCCTAGAAGGCTTTTCTGGAGAAAAACAGCCCCGCCCTGCAGGGTTTCGGGTGGTGTTTTTTGAAGGACCTGTACTAATCCCGAGGAGAATTCTTCCAGGTACCTGGCCTGTCATGGGTGCTACCGTACCTCTGGCTGTGGGAAGGCAGGCCAGCGTGATGGATCGACTTGCGCCAACGATGTCGAGGGCTGAAGCGCCTCCCACCATCGAAGGTGGGCGGCCTATACCATGAATTTAAGGTTTAGGATTTGGGGACTTGGCATTGCCAAGATTCTTCTTATGAGCCATCACGCTACCACATTACGAATCCAAAATCTGTCCCATGAAGTCAGGACCAAGCCCTGTTTAAGGGGGCCAAGAGGCCCTATAGCCTTGATGGTTCAGGCGTTTCTTGTCCTGTTTCGAGGCCAAGCTCTTCCATTCTGTACCAAACCGCAGAAGTTCTGCCAAGGTCTACGCTGGCTTTGGGGCCTCCATTGTCGGAACGCCCAAACCTCAAAGCCTCGTTACGATCCCAGCTTGCCTTTCATGTTGCAATGTGTTGCATGCTATTTGTCATGCGCTTCTCCATCATGCCGATAATACCTGCTGAAATCGTAGTGGCTTCAATGACGTTTTCCATGTTCTTTCCATTTCATTCTCCGCTATTGGGGTCACATCCTTCAGCCCTTAAACCCTAAATATACTTAGAGAACCCAATGTGACCCATAAACCCTAAACCCTAAACTCTAAAACCCTAACACCCTAAACCTTAAACCTTATAGAACCCTATAGACCTCTATAGAACTCTGTATAACTATGTACAACCCCGTATACCCCTACCTAAAGAACAAGGAGGCCTCCCCTGCCGCAGCAGCCGACGGACCTCCGACTTATCCAGGGTGCCATCTGAGTTCAGGTCGAACCTCAAGGTATAGGGTTTAGGGTTTAGGGCATAGGGTGTATGTAGGGCTTAGAGTTTAGGATTTAGGGTTAGGGATATAGACTTTAGGGTATAGGGTTTAGGGTTTGGGCTTTAGGCTTCCTGAAGCTATGTCAGGATCATATAAGAATTTTGTCGGGATTTCAGGGGTAGATATGGACTATGGAGGGCTTAGGGTCTAGGAGCCTGAATAAACCTGCTTCCATTTCACGATCCATTTTCTGTCCTTTTCATTCTCGATTATTGGCAAGTGTTTAGCCGGTAGCTACCAAGAATCAAATGGAGAAGAAACGGAAAATGAAATGCTTCGGCAGGATCCCAAGATCTAGAGTTTAGTGTTTACAGTCCCCCTTGAGTGGATAGAACATGGAGTTGACCCACATCATAATAAGAACCCCCTATATATCCCATATTCTATCTACTTAAGGCGGACTATACCCCAAACCCTAAACCCTAAATAGTAGTTTCCATTTCCTTTTCCATTATCCCTATGCAACCCTATAGGTGTAGGGTTTGGGGCTCCGAGTTGACAAATACCCATGGCACAGGGCTTAGGATGTCAAGCGTTATCTCTTAGGAGGACCTCCGGCCCTGTAATAGTGACTATAAGGGATAATAGGGATTATATTAGGGTCCTCTTATATTCCTATTATGCCACTATTACAGGGTGGGGGGTCCTCCTAAGTTATCTCCAGCCGACAGACGATTTTTGGCAGCCGCGGTCTTATGAGAAGCCCAACACTACAGACTGAAATGTAGAGGCCGGAATACCTACCCGTATGGTATTTTTCTACTAGGCTAAAAGTAGAAGACATGGAGATATGTTCATTTCTATCAATCTCTTCTGCCATTAGATGAGTCTACATGTAATGTCTTGATTTGTTATACACCTTTCATACGTTTTCTGTGTGAACCCCCTCTAATGGTTGCATACTTCGCAGTCGAAGATACACCCAAAACCTTCTTGCCTTCTTCTACAATCTGGAGGTTTAGGGAATGCAGTCTGCAATCAACCCTGCACCATTCTGCCAATGCAAGAGCTTTGTAGAATCTTAGTCCAATATAAAGTACAACCTGGGTCATCCAATGCGTCGGCATGAAATGGCTTTTTAAAAACACTTAAAAGCTCACAGTCGACAGAAACAATAGAACTGTTCCCGGGGAAGACATGACAACAACAGGAAGACAGGTGACAACCATGATAATCCTCATCGTCTCATCATCGTAATCAGCAAGTCCTGCAGCTTCCTCCAGATCCCAATTATTGTTTCAGAATTGGAGAAGAGATTGCCCATGAAGCGCCTAGACCGCTAAACCCCTAAACCCAAACAAACAGCCATCTATCAAACCCAGGGTCGATGGACACCGAGAGGGGATGCAAATCCATCAGAAGCCCCAGCCAACTTGGTAGTTATTAGAAACAACGGGAACCCAAAATAGATCCAAAAACACTGTAATCCTTGTTATGGGGGCCCCCCAAAGGGTACCCCTAATCTTGGGGAGCCCTAATCCTTACACAAACCCAGTGTTTTATCTTATTTCCCATTTTGGTAAGAGGGTTTGTTTTTTTGTTGTCTGGTCTTTTTTGTTGTTTGGGCTTTTCGGGTGTTCATTTTTTGCTGTTTGGGCGGGGGCGTGTTCTTTTTTTTGCTGTTTGGGCGGGGGCCCAGGCCCCGCC